TGCTACATGTCCTGATCATGTCTGCAAATTGATCAAATCCCTTTATGGGTTAAAACAGGCTCCTCAAGCTTGGAATTCGAAATTTACTAGCTTTCTTCCTGCTATTGGATTTCAATCATCTCTTTCAGATAGTAGTCTATTTGTCAAAATTGATGGTGGAGACATAATCCTTTTATTGTTGTATGTTGATGACATAATTCTCACTGGTTCAAACTCAGTTAAAATACAGTCTGTAATCGATGATCTTACTGGTGTGTTTGATCTCAAAGATATGGGGCGGTTAACCTACTTTTTGGGGCTGCATATACAGTATCGAGATGACGGTTCCTTGTTTATATCACAGACTAAATATGCTAAGGATGTGTTACAAAAGGCAGGCATGGAGAAATGCAAGTTTACTTCAACACCATCTAAGCCTCATACTCAAATTCTTGCTGGTGAAGGAACAATGTTGTCAGATCCGAGTCACTATAGAAGCATAGTTGGGGCTCTTCAATACCTAACTTTTACTCGGCCTGATATAGCCCATTCGGTGAACATGGTTTGTTAATTCATGGCACAACCAACTAATTTACATATGTTTCTGGTCAAAAGAATCTTGCGATATATACAAGGCACTATTGGCTATGGCTTACAGTATACAAAAAGCAAGGACTTCAATATAACTGCTTATTCTGACTCAGATTGGGCAGCCGATATCAACACCAGAAGATCCATTACAGGTTTTGTTGTGTATCTTGGGACAAATCCAATTTCTTGGCAGTCTAAAAAGCAATCCACAGTCTCTAGAAGCTCTACAGAGGCAGAGTACAAGGCATTAGCACACTGTGCAGCTGATGTGTTTTGGATCCGCTCAGTATTTAAGGATATTCATCAATACATATCAGTCCCACCATCCTTATACTGTGATAACCTCTCAGCATTGGCTTTAAGCTCAAATCCGGTTTTTCACTCCAAGATCAAACATCTTGACACCGATTATCACTTTGTGCGTGAGAAGGTCCAGAAAGGAGATCTTATGGTTCACTATATTCCGATAGAGGATCAGGTCGCTGATGTATTCACCAAGGGATTGCATAGTCCAATATTTCAAAAACATTGCAAAACCCTTGGCTTGGGAGTTGATTCTACAACAAACTCAGCTTCGGTAGCTCAGCTCAGTTTGAGGGGGGAGTAATAACCATATAGTCATACTGATTCATGTAACTATATTGGTTAATCAAGTGGTTTGAGTTGGTTAGAAGAAAGTTGTTAGAAAGGGTAATTGAGTCATTCTGTATTGAAACGTTAGCTATTATAAATAGCTGTTGTAACTTCCATTTGTGGTATTGCATTTCATATGTTCTTCAGAATATACAGAGCTTTCTTCTTCTTCTTTTCATCATTCTTTCTGCTATTGTTCTATAATATTAGTATATCATAATATTCTAGGTTAATATGTGGCACGACCGACCAACGCTCCCGTCCTTAATGTTTGTAGTGATTTCGGTGAGTCGGATGAATTGGCCGTCGGTATAAGCATCGCGCTCAAGAGATATAATTATGTTGACGCCAATAAGAAAGTTGGAGAAATTATAGGTTAACAGAGTGGCAGAATGCGTTAACGCAAAGATGACAAGGAGGAATGGAAGCTACACATCACCCTCCCCCTCTCCTCGCCTTCGGCTTTGTGTCATCCCCAATCCTCTTTCCTTCCAATGCCTTCTACCTCGTCTCCACTCGCCCCCTCTTCATCGTTGACGTCGTTTTTCCCGGCCTCTTCTACTTCCGCCACGATCGTGTACTGTCGGGTGGCCTTCAATTGGCAAATGTGATTCGGAATACATATTTTCTAAAGCTGATATAAAAAACGATTTACTAAACCCTTCACAGCTTTGCCCCAAAGATGGTTGAGAGGAGTTTTTTTTTTTTTTTTTTAAATACAATGACGTATTTACACCAAGAGAGGTTTGGGGTAATCCACGCAATGAGCCCTATAACAATATGGTATCAAACTCACACTCACGGGAGTTAAACCAAAGATCTTTTACTTAGAAATGAAAATAAATATCATTGGTAGCTTCGTATATATTGAAGAAGCAGGCAGCCACGTTTCTATTCATAGGAAGAGTGGGTTACCTTAGCTACTTAGCTTGAGTGTGGAATGTAATATTTTGGTTGGTGTGTGGCGTTTGATTAGGTTTATCTGGTGGAAGCTGAAGAAAAGAGGATGTGATGAAGATCGATCTTATAGTTAATAACGGCTTCCTAACAAGTTTATACGATAAGAACCCATGCTAATAACGGTTCCTTAACTGGTTTACACGAGAGTGACACGCGAGTAACCTGTTTTGTCATATTAAGAAAAAAAGTTATTTTGATGATTTTAATTTTTTACTGAAAAACTTACTATAAAATACAAGAGCCATAGTGTATATGTATATATTGTATATTAAATATGTATTATCGTATTATTATTCTATATAAATTTAAAAAATTCAAGTTTTATTTATTTTTATATTTTTAAAGTATACTAAAGGAAAAGAGTGTGATAAAAAAAATTATAAAACAAATTAAAAATAAAAATATCAAGTAATTTAAAAATACCAAACACATTAAAAAATTATAATAATTAATTTACAAGTGCAAAAAATGTGAAGAAATATGCAAACGCTCATGATCGCATCCTTTGCACTTTGAGGATGAGTACATCGTCATTTGAATTTTTAAAACCATTCAAACCCTCATGAAACGCAACTCCCTTCATTTTGCATATCGTTGAACATTTGATATTTTGTAATAATCTACTAATGCTTTTTATGTGACAAGAGGTATGCATATACTAATTTAGTATTATGTTTTCCATTTTTTTGGATGAAATTATGTTTTTAATTATTTATTGGTTTAAAATATATTTCTTTAATGGGTAACATGTTGGATCATATTACCTAATAATATTAATATAGGTTGATTTTGGGTTGGGTCATATTACCCGTTTACTTTAATGGGTGTTACACGACATGACCTGTTAATATATTGGGTATGTCACAAAAATGACATGAACACGAAAAACACGATACGAATGTGAGGTCTAACGACGGTGCCATACGATTATTGAAATCTACTATTTTATTTAATTATTAAGTCGTTCAAATTTACTTCATAAAAAATAAACATAAGTTGTTCAAATTTGATGCTTATTAGAAACTTCTGAATCTAAATTCAGAGTATGGCTTTAATTCTACGCATCATTCAGTCATACGGATGTTTTAGATGTCAAATTTGATTCCCACTGTGACTCGCCCGCTTATTCTTTATAGCAGTTGTACTGGACTACCATCAATACCACACAAAAGAAAAACCGCAATAAATTTACATGAAATCAAGACCATGTCACCAAGCTCTCTCTTCAATCTATACACATTGTTATAATTAATTTGAAGATGACAACAATTAATTGAGAGAAAGAAAGGTGAAGATGAATTTGTAGGGACAGTACGTTGAATATTCAGACACGGTCTGACGGATCCTACTAATCAACATTGATGTTGTTTTCAACTTGATCAAATATGCGATAATAAAAATTTCTGAAAATATGAGTACATCCCTTGAAATTCAATTTTCTTTAATTAAAACTCATCATGATAAATTTCTCTAACAAAAACCCAATGACTAGTCTCCAACTAAGCAATATCCATAATTAAGTTTGACTTGGCAAAATTTGTATTTTTGAATGTCTAAATTACCCCTAGTAACACTTACTTTGGGCCTCTCACTTACTATCTCCATTTATTTTACATTATTTCATTCAATTAAATGTTCAAATATTTACATGATACCAATGTTCCTTATATAGTTGTTTTCACATGATGCTAACAGGTAAATTAGTATATCCAACAAATATAAAAAAAAGTTAATTTATTCAAAATTATCAATATTTTAAATGTAACATGGGTAAATTATTTTGCACAACATATATATAACAATATAAGTTCCTAGTAAATTATGTAATGATATATGTAAAATAATTTACCTACAAAATAAATAAATATTTTTTATTCAAAATTAATTAAATACCAATATTTTGCAAAAAAAAAATATATATAAAACAGTTTACCTACATGCAAAATAATTTACCTACAAAATAAAAGAATGTCGATTGATTGCACACTCTGTATAATAATAACAAAATGTGGCTAGTACATATGTAATATCACATGAAAAATAATTTACCTACAAAATAAATAAATGTTTTTTGCCAATTGATTCAAATTAATTAATTACACATTATTTTACATAAAAATATAGATAAATTATTTGTACGCATATATATAATTTTAACAAAATGTGTCTAATACATACATGCAAAATAATTTACCTACAATGATTGTCAAACAAATAAAAGAAACGAAATATATGATGGTAAGAGAAGTATAAAGTAGATAATTTTATAATAATAAGGCACTTATTTCTCACAATTATGGTGGATAATTAAATTCATTAACATAATTAGAGTGTTGTGGCACAATTGTAAATAGTTTGAAAATAATACGTATTTATTTGTTTACATGGCAGTCTACTTCAAATTTGGGTTTTATTTGAATGTTTAAAATGAAATGAGTTTTTGTCAAGGAAATAAGTGTTGCATGGATTTATCTAAAGAACCCTAAAAATTTGAACTTCTTCAGGTTTCCGAAAGAACAATGATTGGCTCCTCCTCCTCAATTCAGCTAGTGGTTTAATCACATAACTTTATGTTTATGATCAGAATCGTTCATATAATAAATGATTTTGTAAAGCTCATCTCTACAAAAAAAAATTAATTAAAACTAAGGTTGTTTAGTCAATCAATTGTAGCAAATAGATAAACAGTTCGTAATTTTGAATACTTTTACCTAATTCGTCCATTTGTTTTTATACAGTTCAATAATAAACAATCTCATATATAATTAATTTTTTTATAGAAATGATCTGTAACGGTTCCAAAGTTATTGCTTCAACACAGTAGATGTACCAAGAAAACAAGTCTAACCAAAACGTCAATTCCTCATTTCCAATAGGCTCTGATCAAGTCCTCCTCCAAACAGAATTATCTTCATTTGAATCGGTAAAAGGACTGCTGATTAAAGCACTTTAAAAGATTGAACTGATCTTCACTCGAGAAACATAGTTCTGATTAAAGCACTTTCAGAATTATCTTAGTGTTCACAATTTGATCTGCAAAGCTACCCAAAAACAAAATTTGTTAGAAATGGTTGTCTCACCAAAGCAGCTCCAATTCCTTCTTCTGTCGTTTCAATTATTTTCTTGTGTATCTCCATTATCTTTCAACTTCTCCACCTTTCCAAATGGCATCAAAAACTTATCTCTCGAGGGAGACGCTTACATCGATGGCAAATATCTTCGACTTACCAAAAGCGCTGTTGACGACGTACAGAACCAAAGTGTAGGTCGAGCCACCTACAGCCAACCCTTCCTCCTCCGAGACAAGGTCACGGGAAAGCTTGCCGATTTCACAACAAACTTCACATTTGTCATCGATTCCAGAGGCAAGACACCCTATGCGGACGGATTCGCCTTCTTTTTGGCGCCAAATGGATCCTTACTCAACAAGACAATAGGCAGAGGCGGCAGTCTAGGACTCCCCGTGGACACTTCTCCCGACGTGTCAAAAATTCAGTACCCTTTCTGGGCGGTGGAACTTGATATCTACCGGAATAATGTGACATCTGTGGAAGATCCTGCCGGAGATCATGTCGGAGTAGACATCAACTCTGTGAAGTCTAAGATGACCGAATCGTGGAATGGTAGTATTACAAACGGACGAGTCAATAGTGTTGGGATTAGTTATGATTCTTCATCAAAGCATGTTGGTATTGTTTTCACAAGTTATGTGAAAGATGTTCAAGTTATGAAGTATATGGATTGCAGGGTTGATTTGAATGAAATCCTCCAGGGTTGGGTCGTTGTTGGGTTCTCCGCCGCAACAGGTTCTCTGACTGCTGTGGACAAGATCCAATCATGGAGTTTTAATTCGTTTCAACTGCGTGAAGAGAATGAAACGAAGAACACGCCAGTGGTTCCTGAGCCGAGCCCCATTGTTGATCCCAAGTCAGGAAATGGGGTCAACGTAGGACTAATTGTTGGTTTGGGTGCTGGTGGGATTGCTTTCTTGGTTGGTGGGTTGGGTTTGGTTTGGTTTTTGATTTGGAAGAAGAGCGCAGGTAGTTCAAAAGATGGAATGGTTAACGACTGGATCGATGAGGAGTTCCAAAAGGGAACAGGCCCCAAGAAGTTTTCGTACAGAACATTGGCTAGATCAACAAGTAATTTTGATGAAAGAGAGAAGCTTGGAGAGGGAGGATTTGGTGGAGTTTATCGAGGCTTCATAAAAGACTTGAACGCGTATGTTGCTGTTAAGAGGGTATCAAGCAGGTCTAGACAGGGGATGAAGGAGTATGCAGCAGAAGTAAGGATCATCAGCCGGCTAAGGCATCGGAATCTGGTGCAACTCATTGGTTGGTGCCATGAAAAAAGAGAACTCTTACTTGTGTATGAGTTCATGTCCAACGGCAGCTTGGATTCCCATTTGTTCAAAGGGAAAACCTTGTTAGATTGGGAGGCAAGAAACAAAATTGTTCAAGGCTTGGCATCTGGGTTGTTGTATCTACACGAAGAATGGGAACAATGTGTGCTGCACAGGGATATCAAATCCAGCAATATCATGTTGGACTCAAATTTAAACGCAAAACTTGGGGATTTTGGGTTAGCTCGGCTTGTTGACCATGGAAAACAATCACAAACAACAGTTCTGGCCGGAACTATGGGCTACATGGCTCCTGAATGTCTTACCACAGGAAAGGCTAGCAAGGAAACAGATGTCTACAGCTTTGGAGTTGTTGCCTTGGAGATAGCTTGTGGGCGAAAACCCATTGATCCCAATTTGGAAAGTAGTGAAAGGAATATGGCGGAGTGGGTTTGGGAGCTTTATGGACAAGGGAAAGTCATTGAAGCAACTGACCCTAAATTGTGTGGAGAGTTTGATGAGAAACAAATGGAATGTTTGTTGGTTGTTGGGTTGTGGTGTGTTCATCCGGATTACACTATCAGGCCTTCGATACAACAAACGATTCAAGTGCTTAATTTTGAAGTTCCATTACCTATTCTCCCGTCGAAGATGCCGGTGGCTAGCTACTCTTCACCTCCGGTAACATTGTCAATTTTGTCTGCTGATACTACAGATTTGGAAAGAGGTGAAACTGATTCTTCAGGCTATCGTTACAACACCAACTCCTCACAGTTCACCCAATCTTCTGCATCAAATTCTTCTTCATCAGCACACTTTAGTACACAAAATAAATTTTAATGAATAATCCTGGTCTACGTATATACAAATATTTTTTAGTTTTTTGTATTTGATTATGTTGTATATGCACTGGAACTAGATAAACTAGAAGAACTAGAGTGTGGACTAGCTCGAGTCTATTGTCCAAGCTGACTATTTTTGAAATAAATAAAAAAATAGAACAAAAAGATTAGCAGAAAATCCAACTTTCAATTCTGAATGCTAATTGCTAACCATTTCCATGTTTCAAGCACTTCAATGAGTTTATTCATCTTCCATATTGTACAAATTTTCTATCCAAAATGCATTTGCCCGGACTATTCGTTAACTTTGGCCCCATCAACAGTGGTGTAACCATAATTTTCAAATAATGGGGTCATAATATCAACCAAAAAGCTTCATTGGGTCATTTTGTAGAGCACCTAGTAGGCACCTGCAAATTCCTGCCAACATATGCCAAAATTTTATGTCAACATATGTCGACGACTACTATTACTTGTACAAGCTTGTCGAGGATGGATGTAGGATACTCTGGAGTAATGTTGAAGACTTTCAAGGCTTTTCAACTAAAACATTTCATACAAGAAGAGAAAAAGAAGACAAATAAGATAGAAGAAAATAGAAGTAGAAAGATGACGTCGTAATTTAGTTTGCCTTAGTTGTTTGTTGCGGTCAAATACAATATACAAGCAAATATACATAGAGTTTTTAAAGTTAGTGGGGTCAAAGACAACCAATGACTACATGCTGGCTCTGCCACTGCCCATCAACCAGTGGCAGATCCAGAAATATTCTTCATAGGATATGATGTATAGGATATGATGTAGAGCTCTCAAATATATTTTTTTGTACAGACAATACTGGAGGAGGGTAGGTTCAAACTTTGAAACTCGCGTGCAAAGTTGAATCCAATTAAACCATAAACTTCTTGTAACTAAAAGAGGTTTTGGAGTATTAGTTAAGTAAACTTAATTAAAGGGAACGACTGCAGTCTTTTTCATTAGCATCATTATTTTTGTTTAAGATGAAAGAAGCACTCAAATAAGGATTAAGCTTTCAAATTAATGTTTGAGTTTAATGCCTTCAAACTAATAGTTGTCCTTGAATCAACCTCCTCTTTGAGGCGTTGAATCGAACCAGTTGCAGACTTTCTCCAAGTTGAAAGAAAAGATCAATTCAACTGAGCAATTAAATGGGAGAAGAAGAGGGTGATGGAGTAGGCGCGACAGCCTGCCCTGGCCCATGTATGCGTCCGGCACTGCCGTCAACCACACAAACAAAACAAAGCAATAAATATCAAAATGTGAAATGTACAAGATACATAATACAATCACCTTGTCATCTTCAAGATATTGCGGTAGGGATGATAATTTAAACTGTTAAACTCGATAACCGTCCGAATAGAACGGATTTGGATATGAAAATTTAGGTATATTTTGAATTTGGAGAAAAACCGTAAATATTATTCGGTTATGGTTATAATGATCCTTGATTCGTATCCGACTTGAATAATATATAATATAATAGTATTATAATATATATATATATATATATATATATGTGTGTGTGTATCCATTATTCATATGTGTGTACATTCATTATTTATCGAATCCATTACCTTGAGAATACAAAAGTTGCATTGTGAGAGTTGCATTTTATGAGGAAATTCAAAAGTTTTGAATCAAAATCAATGAGAATTCAATGGTGCTAAAGATATTACAAATCAGCCAATTACATCATCAATGTTTTAAATTCAATACTTTAATTTGTATACTCTACAAAATCAGTTCATTGAATCATTTTACACATCAAATGTGTAACGACGAAATTAATATATCCTAACTTATAATGTGTCAATTGAACGAATATATTTTTTTGTTTGACGAAGATGGATATAACCGTTAGTCGGTGATGAATCTGTTACCCAGTGGGTATGGTTATGGATAATCTCCGATCGGTAATTTGTGGTTATGGATATGATTGATTTTCGTGGTTATGGAGATGGATATAACATTTTTATCCCCAAACCGAACCGTTGCTATCCCTAAATTGCAGTCTCCTCTCCTATTCATGTTTTTGTTTTAAAGTGGTTTGGACATGTGAAACGAAAATCTACAGTTGCTTTGGTTAGAAAATATGATTATGAAATATAGACTCAGGGCAAAATGGGTAGAGAAAAACCTATGAAGAATGGGAGAGAGATTCTAAGAAAAGACAAGAAGTACTTGGAGCTAACAAAACTTGGGGCAAAACTTAGTGCAGTAGCGAGCATTTTAAGATTCATACAACATGATACACTTAGTGAGATAAAGCTTTATTGTTGTTGTTGTAACAAAGGATAGGAAAATCTACATTAAATTTATCTAAATTATGGGGGAGGGGAAGATTTGAACTTAGGATATAATAGGTTAAAGAGGAATGCTCTATCCATCACAGCAACCCACCTTAACAATATGAGAAAATCTTATTAATATGAAACAAGAGAAGTGGCACCTAGTCAAGCTGACATAAACTCTACCCTTCAAAACAATCTCCTCTCCCAGCCCATCTGATAAGTAGCGTTTTCTGGAACCTTGATTCACCCCTTTTTTTATTGATATATCGTGTTTTATTCTTCGAGGTCGTACACACATACACATACACAAAGATGTTGTGCTAGGATAGCACCAAAACTTATGGAACCAACTCTTGATAACCCACAGGAAATATATCAAATGAAAAGCAAGAACAAAATATTAAAGACACCAAGATTTTAACGAGGTTCCTCAAGAGTCAGTGTAACTGGAGTACGTTCTCGGAGCAGTAGGAGCTCACCCAATAATCCACTATCAACCAAATGGGAGTTTACAAAGTGTTGGCAATCTCACAACCCAAATAACCCAATACACCCAATAACTCTCACACTCTAAAGAAACAAATAGAGAAAGAAATGTAGTGATTAATTTCTTCTCTATACAAAGCTCAAAGCTATTACAACAATAACACTTTGATGGAGTGAGAACTATCCAATGAAAGGAACAACAACTCCTTCTCTGAAAATGGTACTGCAGCAGTACCTTCTTTCTCTCCCTCTCTTCTCTTTGGCTCTCTCTTTTTTCTGCTCTCTATTTTCTTCTCTTCACAACAAAAGCAGCAATTGCTGCTAAATCATTCATTCAAGTCACCCCGTGACTTCCCACATGGACCAAAGAAAACTTTAGACAAAATCACTTTTCTTTTCCCCAAAACAAGGAAACATAATCATGTTGTCCTTTCCCCTTTTTTTTTTTCTTTTGGTTTGTTTATTAGGAAAGGTGATGGCCACTTGGCCAAGTTCCGAAAACGCCATGATAAGCCAACCAACACAATTGACCCAAAAAAATCACTCCCAAACACTAGCAAGAGAACAACTCATGCCGAGCCAAATGCTCCAAAACTCCTACTGCTCAACGCCTTCTTTATATAGGCAAAATGTGAGCCAAGTTCAAGCAATGAACAAACTTGGCTACACCAACAACCTTAGTCAACATATCAGCGGGGTTGTCTTTAGTTGGAATCTTCTGGAGAATGATTTCCCCTTCACCAACAATTTCACGAACAAAGTGATAACGCACATCTATGTGCTTGGTCCTCGCATGATGAACCTGATACTTAGCCAAATAAATGGCACTCTAACTATCACAATGTACCTCCACCTGTTTCTGATCAACCCCCAAATCTCTAATCAGCCCATGTATCCAAATGGCCTCCTTTATAGCTTCAGCAACTGCCATATATTCAGCATCTGTAGTAGACAAGGCAACAGACGACTGCAAAAATGGACCTCCAACAAACTGGTCCTTTAGCCATAGTAAACACATAGCCTGTAGTAGTAGACTTCCTTCCATCCAGATCACCTGCATAATCTGAATCAACATATAACCAACTGCAAAATGACCAATACCAGAGTCATCTCTCTCAAAGCATAAACCAACATCTCGAGTACCATGGAGATACCTCAATATCCACTTAGCTGCTTGCCAATGCTCTTTACCTGGATTATGCATATATCGACTCACCATGCCAACTGCATGAGCAATATCCGGTCTAGAGCATACCATTGCATACATCAAACTACCAACCAAATTTGCATATGGTATATTTTTCATTTGCAGCTTCTCTTTATCAGTTTTAGGACATTGTAGAGAACTCAATTTAAAATGAGGAGCCAAAGGGGTACTAACCGGTTGGTTGAATCATGAACTCCAAACCTTCGAATCAACTTCTCAAGGTATTGTCTTTGATTCAAACTGACCAAACCCTTCTCTCTATCTCTAGTGATCTCCATGCCAAGGATCTTCTTTGCTTCACCAAGATCCTTCATCTCAAACTCATTCTTCATTTGTTTCTTCAATTTCTCAATCTCTTCAACATTCTTTGAGGCAATCAACATATCATCAACATATATCAATAAATAAATGAAAGACCCATCTTGCAACTTCTTGAAGTATACACAATGATCATATTGACTTCTAGAATAATTTTGGCCTCTCATAAATTTATCAAACCTCAAATACCATTGCCTTGGAGATTGCTTCAAGCCATAAAGCGATTTCTTCAACTTGCAAAACAAATTTTCCTTCCCTTTCACTATATACCCATCCGGTTGACACATATAGATCTCTTCATTCAAATCACCATGTAGGAAAGCCGTCTTCACATCAAGTTGCACAAGCTCAAGATCATACTGTGCAACAAGAGCTAACATAATGCGAATTGAGGAGTGTTTCACAACCGGAGAAAAGATTTCATTGTAGTCAATGCCCTCCTTTTGTGCATACCCTTTAGCAACTAATCTTGCTTTGAATCTCACATTGCTTTTCTCATCAGCATCTTCCTTCTTGGCATACACCCATTTGCAACCGATAGCTTTCTTGCCCTTAGGCAATTTAGCTAACTCCCAAGTCTTGTTCTTCAAGAGAGAATTCATCTCATCACCCATGGCATTGCACCACCTCTCCTTTTCTTCACTCTCAATAGCTTCCTCAAAATTAGATGGAATCTCATCAGTGATAATAGGAAGAGCAAAAGAAACATAGTCACTATACCGAGCTGGCTTGGTAATTTGTCTCTTTCCTCTATTCTTGGCAATAGACTCTTGAGGTGAAACTTCCTCTTCAACTTGAAATAGAATCTTCAGTTCAACTTCTTCAACACTTCTTCAACAAAATGGTCTTCCAAACTTTCTCACTTGGTTCTTTGACATCAGGGAAATAGGATTTGAAGTACCAGAGGC